ATAGTAGTCACGTTCATGAATAACGTTACATACGAGGTCTGTCCGGAAAGTATCGGGCCTACGTTTATATCTTCACGCCATAGGGTTCGAGCGACCTCTACCGGACAAAAACGTCAACTGTAAAGCCTCACAAATCTATTGGTTACTTACTGACACCTGCCGGACATATAGTTCATGCGCAGCGTGTCTTTGTTTACAGTGCCTTTTTCGCGTTCGTCGGATTTTGATATTGTCAAAAATGCCTGAAAAACAAGATCAACGAATTTGCATCAAATTTTGCTTTCAACTCGGAAAAACGAGTTCGGAAACTATTGAAATGATGCAAAGGGCCTTCGGAAGCGAGTGTATGAGCAAAACACGAATAAAAGAGTGGTATAAACGGTTCAAGGATGGTCGCAACTTCTGTCGATAGTGATTCTCGTTCCGTCCGGCCTTCGACGACAAAAACCGCAGATAATATTGAACGCGTGCGACTTGCAATCAAATAAGATCGTCGTATGACTGTGCGAGAACTAGGAGAAGACCTTGGGATACCAAAAACTATCATTTCAGAAATTTTAACCGAAAATTTAGGAATGAAACACGTGTGTGTGAAATTCATCCCAAAATTGCTCACAGCAGAGCAGAAGAACATTCGCTTAGAAATCGCTCTGGACAATCTGGAAATGGTCAATAATGATGATAATGTGCTTAGAAAAGTTATTACAGGTGATGAATCATGGGTTCATGGTTATGATCCTGAAACAAAACAACAACCTTCACAGTGGAAGCATTCTGAATCGCCAAGACCAAAAAAAGCACTTCAAAGTCGGAGCAATGTTAAGTCAATGTTGATTGTTTTTTTCGATTTTGAAGTTGTTGTACATCACGAATATGCACCAACAGGTCAGACAATCAATAAAAAATACTACTTTCAAATTTTGAAACGTTTACGTGATGTAGTAAGAAGAAAACGGCCGCACTTCTGCGGAAATGCGCCAACGCATTCATCCAATCTTGTGCAGCAGTTTTTGAGCAAATACAATATCGCATTGCTTCGACAACCTCCATACAGTCCCGACATAGCCCCTTGTGACTTTTGGTTGTTTCCAAAACTAAAAATACCACTCAAAGGACACCGATTCGATGACAAAACAACGATTGAAAACAATGCGACGAGTGTACTTAAGGCTATCCCTAAAAGTGAGTTTCAGGACTGTTTTGAAAAGTGGAAACATCGATGGAACCGTGTTGTTCAATCAAGTGGGGATTACTTTGAAGGATGCCACCCACCAGATGATAAAGAATAACGCTAGCACGAAAATATAAAGGTAGGCCCGATACTTTCCAGACAGACCTCGTACAGGGTGGACTATTTTAATGGGTCCACTCAAATATCTTCGAAAATAATAGATAAAAAAAATGGTTCGTACAAAAATTGTTGCCGGCGAAGGAGATCATCTATCTGTAAAATTGGTTTTGATCTTGAACTTTACTTTCAAGGTCATTTGGAGGTAAAGAGTTTTTCTTCATTGGGAACCCATATTATTGAGAATTTTTTCAAACTATGATTTTTCTGAGTGAATATTTATTTTCTGTTGGATGATGATTTTATTGAATATTATTGTTAATTTATTGTTAATATTATTTTTAAATTTTATGATATTCTACCTTTTCGGTTATTAGGTAATATTGAGTTATTAGTTTTTTGATATTAGTTTTGTTATTGGTTATTGGATTATTTGGGTTATTAGGATTCTTCGGTTATTTGGATTATTGAGTTCTTAAGTTGTTTCTCGTGGAATTACACCAATCATGATTAGGTTATCAGAAAATTCTATTAAATAGCAACCACGGTATTTTTTAGTATGTAACCTTTAAATGATCTCGTAAGTGTAATAAAAACATTTTGGAAATATCGTTTTAGACAATAAACGTAAAATTTTCCTCCTTTCATTCTAAATCCAGTGTTAAAAAAGGGGTTCCTATTGAAAAAAGACCTGTTGACCTCCAAATAACCTCTTGAAAGTAAAGTTCGAGGTCAAAATGAACTTTACAGCTAGACGGCCCCTTTCGTCCGCGACATTTTGTGTATGAACGATTTTTTTACCGATTATTTTCAAAGATATTTGAATGGGTCGATTTAAATGGTCTACCCTGCATGTACTCATATCTTTTTACATATCTATATGGCCCCCTACCCATGGTGTCATTTATCTAGCTTGGGCTCTTCAAGTCCTGATACTCCTCACTAATTATCGCTATATTAGCTTCTTTTCCGCTACTAGTTGTGGCAGTAGATTTTGTACGGCCTCGCAGTGATTTAGGTTTATTTTGAGAACTCCAACCATTTTACTTGATTGTTTTCATTCGTTGTCCTATGTCCATTTTCTTGGCATTTGGACATCAACCGCTTTGTAATCCTCCTTATTGCATGTAAAGCATTGCTTGGAGCGATCTTATAGGCATCTCTTAGCTATGTGTCCCGTTTCATGACATCTGTAACATCGTTGAGTTGCCTCTCGAATTCGTACTCTGTAGTTGGCTCATCCTATCCTTAGCTTGCCTTTTTTAATCAATTTCTTCCCAGCAGTTGTCGGAAGTATAACGCTAGCTTTTTGCTTAACCTGCGTGCGATGCCCTAATAATTCAATAATTAACTATTATAAACATTGTAACACCTACGTTAATAATTTTAAATTCCGCTTGGAAAATAAGCCCGAACAACGTCGCGTCACAAATTATTTTAAGGGGGAAGGCTCAGAAGGCGTATTCGCTTCGTCGCGGAAAATTAACGAGGGCTTATGTCGTCCGGTAGTGTCAATAATCGCGATTTGCCTAGTTACGAGAGCTACAGGTTATACAAAGAAACTCACCCTTTCGAATATTTATTTACATTTTATTACAACTCCTTGTTTTTACATGCGGCGTTCGACGTGTGCGTCGGCCAAGTCCGCGCTAGTCCGTTCCGTGCGGATTAACGCACAGGAGACAGAACATCGCCTTACAACTTTCCTGCGAGTTCCCGCGAGTGCGATGCGAATTTACGCACGCAGCCACTCGTCCGCGTCCGGACGATACGATGCTTAGAGAGAGAGAAATCGAGGCGCGCACCGAGAAACGAAAAAGGGTACCTGACCTTAGGAGGAAGCGCTGCTGTGGAAGTCCACGTCCGCTAGGCCAACTACGTAGTCCTCAAAAGGTGGATATCTATGTAGGTGCAGCTGGTCTTCCTCTTCGATACTATTCACTTGGTGCCAATTAACTGGTCACGCACTTTTTCGTCGCGAGGCTTAACTAGCTCGAAATGGTTGCTGGTCAAAGCCATACTGCTGCCTCGATCTCGCGCTTTCCGCGACGTCTTACGCGCCCCTCCCTATAGGTACCCAATCGGCCGAGCGCCTCCAGTTACGCACACTTGTGTGACTCATGCCGGCGACACCATTTCTCCCTCTCCTCCTCTGCTCTCCGCTCTCGCTCCATTCCTCCAACGCCAGGCATCTCCGCCGATCAGGAATCAAACCTGCAACAAAGCCACATCGTGCGTTGATACTCGGTTTTATCAACCGAGACCGATGTGGCAGCGGCTCAGGGGGCGGCACGCGGAAGAGAGAGAGAGGCGAACAGGGCGAGCGAACTCAACGGTCGATTCGCCCGTCACAATATTTAGAAAAATTCAAAAACTTCTAAGAGTTATTATAAAATGCATTACGGTTCTATTGTTATTTTTGCTTAAAACATGAAATTATTTACTAGTTATTTTATTCTTGCAAGGGTTGAACTGGATAAATAATATATCTTTAAAAAATGCGCATGATAATACGATGGTAATTAAAACAATCACTATTTGTGATAGGAACTTATAAAATTAATTAAAACCTATTTAATATTGTGGATATTCTTTTAGTGTTTTCTGACTAAAATTATTTTCAGAATAAGAACTCGATTATAGGTTTCAGGAAGCCATAATTATCTATTAATAAGAAAAATTTCCGGATCTCAACAATTTTATTTTAATCGATTTCAATAAATTGTAAAGTTCCTCACAAAGAGAAAATTCGGTGGGAAAAAAAAATAGATTGTATTTTTATGACCCCTCTTATTATCCGTGGAATAGTGCTTCAAAATATATACGCGATGATCGTAGGCTCCTGTCAACACGTGAATGGGACAAAGCAGCGATTGTAAGGTCGAGTACACCGGTTTGGGCCACTATCAGTATTTATATCAACACCTTCTTTCAGATATACTTTCCTCATGGGAAATGTTATTAGTAGCGACTCTCAATCCTGTTTTTTTATATATCTTGAAGGTTCTCATTATGTTCTTAATATGGATTTCTATAAATTAATTAAGTTTAAAAAGAAACTAAATTACGGCCTGCCGTCACACTATATAGGGTGTTTTAACGTTGTTACGAAACTATGAAAATATTTAACTTCAATCAACGATATCGCGATGAAAAAAAAGCCATCTTGAATCCGAAAAATAGATTTCAAAGGGCAACACAGCTCCTATGTGATGCTTTAGCGCGTTTTTGAAAGAAAAATGTATTCAAGATGCTATGTAACATCAAAAATAGCAAAAAACGTATGAATAATAATCTCATGACTATGGAATGCCGGACTCTTAAAAATTCCCGTCATCGAAAATGGATGATGAGTAAACCCTAATTTCTTTGTTATTGGAGTTAAGAATTATCAAATTGTCAACTCTGTTAGTCAAAAGCTTTTATTGTTAAGCTCACTTTCAATAATAGATTATATTCATTAAGCTAACTAATTTATCACCACCGAAAACATTTAAAATATAATTTATTTGTAATATAGAATTTTATTATAACTATAGTTTCTTGTTTTGTCTTTTGAAAATATCAATTTGTTTTTCGTGTATTTCATAGGTAGCCATATTATTAATACATGATAAATAGATCTATCACATTTTTAGCTAAATCAGTTATTAAATTATTATTATATATTTTTTATATTTAATTTTTATACATAAAATTATGTTTTTTCTAGTTTTTACCATGCCGCAAGTTTAGAAGAACATTTATCAAGAGGAAGTTGGATTTTAGGATATTGGTGTACAAATTGTTTTAAGGAATGCGAGCATTTACCTGGACAACAGCAATATTGCTATAAGTGCATAAAATTACAGCATCAAAAATATAAAGCATTACAAAATAGAGGATTAAATAGAGATATTGATCCTGGAATTGTCAAAATATTTTTTAATCCTTGTCAGTTATTACAACACATGAAAATACACAGAATGGAAGAAATATATATTCACCAACTTATGTTATTACCATTCCCAACAGGCATTAGCATAGAATATTTTCCACATTTGAAAATGATTAGTGAGGCTTTAATAGATTTTATGTTTTTAAAAAATATCCACATCGTTGATTGGCTGTGGCAAAATAAAATTCATAAATGGTGGAGAATGGCAAAAGGAGATAATCCGATAGCAAATATAATTAAGAAATACCCTTTTGAAGTACAACAAATTAAGCAACTTTTAAACAGCAATATCAAAGTAATTTTGAATAATAGATTAGATTTAAAAAAAAAACATAGTAAAAAGAACATAATAAAAAAAAAATCTACGATTTCGAATTGCATTTATTATAAAATGTCTACCTCTACATCAGACATTAATATTGTTAAATTTATAGAATCATCAGAGTTATCAAATTTAAGAATACGTCAGTTTCCTTTAATAGAACAAAATAACACTGCTCTATCTCCTACCGAAAAAAATTCGCAAAATATTAACTTATTTCCCAAAGTTTCGAAAGATAACGTTTTTGATCGAAAATCCTCAAACATTTCTCAATCCTCATTAATAGAAAATTTTACAGATAACCGAACTTTACATTATAATCAAATATATTCAAATAAAAGAACTTCAACATCAATATGCAATATACCGGCGAAAATTTCTGCAAATATACCTTCAGTTAAAAGTTCTGATTTATCGGATAAAGTAAGAAACAATAGAATAATTTTTATAGAAAGAAGTGATCAGGTAAACATTGACCCCTTTCATTCACATACTAAGCATAAAAAAAACTCCCAAAAATTAAGCATTATAAGATCGGATAAAGTACAATTTTTAAAAAAATCTAAGACCATTCAGTTTCATAACTTACATCAATCTGATTCATTGATACCACACTCAAAATACACAAAAAATGAAATTATCACTGATATTATTCGATCAACCAATGAATCAGATTCTATAGCACTTCCACAAAAACAAGTTCTTAAATTCTGTCCAAATGTAGATTTTCAAAATCATAAAAGTTGCAGTGTAGTCTCTGAAAACAATGATATACAGGAAATACCGAAAGAAAATATTCCCGATATTCCTAGTACTAATATTCCTAGTAGACCTTCATCCATTATTATCAAAAAACAGGAAAAAATAATGTCAAAATCTGAAGATAATGTAGATTTACGTGCGGATGTTTCAACGAAACTGATACTTGAAAAGCTTTTTAAAAAAAAGGATTTGGAATTTTTAACAATAAAAAATAGTGAAAAAGGCAAAAGCTTTTTAGCAATTTCGAAACAAATTTGTCCTGAGAATAATTCAGAATACAGGAAAAGAATGTTATCCAGTTTGAGTAAAATAAATAAAAATAAAATTCATTTTCAGATAGACCATATTAAAAGTTTAAGCAAAAAATATTCAGAGAAATTTTATGTTCTGAATGATGAAATAATTGAAGGGCATACAAATTTAATACGTATTCTAGAGAATATAGTCGAAAATATAGATTTACCAAAGCAATCGACTGAAGATGATTTTGGTGGTTTATTATTCAATACAACAAGCAGTAGTATCTGTTCTACATGTCATCAAATTAAGCGATCAGCTAGCTATTCAACAGGATTTCTAGAACCGTTCGTTGAACTAAATCACTGCTTATGCTTTAATTTTGTTTGTTTTAGATGTAATATGTTTCAAGGAAATAAGAAGCGTTTTGATAATCATCTGAAATATCACCAATTGGAATATCCTTTTAAATGCCCCGAATGTGAAATAGAATTTTTATCTTCTACAAATTTAGAAATTCATACGTGGACTAAATGTTTCCATCAATTTGCAAAACGTTTTCTTTTTTGTACCATATGTGAAATAGGTGGATTCTGTAGCATGGAAGCAATAATGAATCATTTCGTTGTAATGCATAGTATGAAAATAACTGCTTGTAGCTTATGTTGTATGGTTTTTGAATATGAGAAATACTACATAAGTCATATAAGAAAAAGCCACCCTGAAGTAAAAAATTACACCAAGCCATTAGAGCTTTTTCTTTGTCAGTTGGATGATAGAATAATACCCATTGAATATTATAACGATCATATCATGAATCATAAATGCATTGAAGAAATTACATTTTATTATTGTAATTTATGTTTCGATATGTCAAAAAAGTTTGAAACATTAGAATCGATAAAAACACACATTTATGAAAATCATTTGGCTGAGTTATCAAATGTTATTAGTAAAAAATCTTTAAATGAGATATTGTCAATGGAAGAGATTCAAGCCATTTTTAAAAAACAAGTACATAATAAGTCTTTTACTAAACTAGGACCCTTAAATGACTGTTATACAGCAATTTCGACAAATGTACGCAAAGAATATGCTATAGATGACTCCAGTAAAGGAAAAAATAGTCTATTAACAATTGATAAAAATCCACTCTCAATACTTGCAAAAAATATTACTCCTTTCATACCAATTCTCGGTGATAAATTACACGGAAAAGAATCTTTAGATTCTTCTGATTATTTTTTACGATATAATTCACCTACGAAAACTCATAATAGTGAAAAATCTTATTTCTCAACCTCTCAAAGTCAATATAGTAAACAATTTGATGACTGCAACAGTCAAAATAAACCCTTCAAAGTTCAGGAACATGTTATAAATTGTATCCCGAAATCATCAAATTATTCCGAGATAAATATCTTGGCAAAGCCTGGAAGTGATGATATTTTAAATATAGCTTCAACTGAAAATCATCAAAATTTAATAATAAATGATAACGATTTTCTTACTCGAATGAATAAAAGAAGTAAGAAAAATCCTAATATTCTACCTCAATTTGTAAACATGAATATGGAAGATTTAAAAAATAACGGTTCTTTAGATTTTGAAAAAGATAGACAGAATCTGAGAGATAATATTCATCAATTAAATGATCTGTGGAATAAAACTATCATTGAACATAGTTATTCTGATGATAAGTTGAGTATTCACACTAAAAAAATGAATCAGGTTGATGTTCTGAACAATACTTTGAACCATGACATATCAATAGAAAATAATACACTAGAACAAATCATCCAAGACGAAACTTCAGAAAGAATCACTCTTGTTCATGAAGATGTGACGAACACTATCAATGAACATTTGAGTGTAACATGTTTAAATCCATGTTTAACGTCAGATGTTATGTCTAAATCTAATTTCATTCACAATGCTAAACATAATGAAGGTGAAGCTATTAAATCAAATCAAACAGATAATTTACATCAGGATTACAAAATCAATATATTACTAAATACAAATTTTGAACTTACTTTTCTACCACGAACTAAAAATCAAGAAATTGATAAATCAAATAACAGAAATATAATAGATAATTATGAAAATAACTCTAATGAAATTGAAAAACAGAACTTTTACGAAAATGATTTGACAACTATTACTAAAAGAAGTACTATATTGAAAGTAAGTAACGATTACACTCATGACAAAGATATATCATTAAATATAAACAGGAATTTTGAAAGTGATATTGTAAATAATATCACTAATGATATTGACACTCAAGAATCTAGTAATTTAGAAAAAGGTCACGACGGTTTTATTACAAAACATAGTATGATTTTGCCAAAAGAAAAGGTAAGGATATTTACAAGAAAAAGTACTAACATCTTTAGTCAAAATAGAGATCTTCAGAATAATATTTCTATAAATTTGAACCGAAAAAGTTTAAATGCCGAATCGAATTCAAAAGTTTTTAATTCGCCAAACAAAAAAATTCGTATTATTGGTAATAAAAATATTTTAAAATTACAGCAATCACCAATAACTAATGTAAGACAACAATCAGAAAAAGATATATCTAATTGCATGATACCTGATTATCTGTTAAATACTAAATGTTATTTTATCGATACAAAATCATACGTAATTAATTTGTTGCCTGATGAGCAAAATACTTCAAACCGCAGTGAAAATACTTCAATGAGCTATACAATGATCGACCTTAAAGCAAAAAGTTACTATTCAAACACATACATAGATAATATTTTTTATGATTCAAAGAATATTTATGACTATGCAAAATTTGAATTAATGAAATATAGCAAGGGTACAAAATCAAAGAATAGACAAAAGGAATTTTGGACCAAAAATAAAATTAGTGATAGTCTATCTTTAAATGCTAATCCAACTTATTCAATTACACTTAGTAGCTATTCAAATACACAAGTAAATAAAAATATTGATAATTTAACAAGTAGAAGATTAGAAAATGCTGGATATTTATGTAACAAAATAATTTTAGAACAAACAAAGCATAGTAAAAATTCTATAAAATCACCTAAAGCTATAGATTTTAATGAGAAATTGAATGAAAATAACTCATCCGAAAAAATGTATAATCTTTATCTACCAAGCGAAATGAAAGGTCATGACATATTTCAAAGTGGATTAGAAATTCCAAATCAAAGTAGAAATTCATTCGAATTAAAGGATGAAATATATTTACCACCTATTGAGTTAAAAAATTTATCATTGGCAGATAATGAAAAAGTCAATTTATCAAAAACGTCATTCTTACGGAGCCATAAATTAAAATGGCCTATCACTGAAAAACAAGTAATGAATTCTAAAAAATTGCAACCACGAATTTTTAATCAACCAAATAGCGCGAACAAATCGCTTATAAAAATAAGAAAGGATAATGATCCGGTGTTTCATAAATTAAATGAAAAAAATTATAAAAATATAAAAAAACAAGAAACTACAGCGCAACAGGGCAAGCCTACAAACAAAAAACTTATTAAGAAGAAACAAAAGAATTTGAAATTTAACGCAAACATTAAATCAAAAGCAACTTTATTACAAGATAATATCTTGATTGGAAAAAAATCGATTATAGAACGTTTAAATACAAATAATAGCTTAAAAGTAAAAGAAAATTTAAAAAAATGTTGGTCTCATTCATCAAATAATGATAATAGACAAAGTAGTAACAAAAAATCAAATAAAGAACGATTGCATCCACAATTATCATTGTCAAATGTTTCGAAAACTCCGAGTAAAAAAAACAAAGCTATACGTATAAAGATCGCTAATAAAAATAGAATTGGCTTTTTTAATAATGAGTGTAGTACAGTAAAATCGTGTGAATTTAAATGTCATTTATGTGGGGATTTGATAAACACGACTTGGGAAACTTTGAATCATCATTACGGTACTAAACACTCTGAAAATTATGAAGTTTATCATGTATATATAAAACTATCTCGTATTTTTAAACCTGATATGAGTGTCCAAACGCATATGCAGAAGAATAATAACAAGCGTAAATCTATTGAAGTATTAAATACAAGATTGCAAAAAAGAAAACGTCGGAACATTAGATCTTTATCGGAAAAATCTGATGATACAGTTGATCGTACTTCTGGATTATATGTAAAACCAGAACCGATTATGGATGACAAAGGTAATTTTAAATGTAAAAAATGCGATGAAATATGTACAAATATAACTAGTCTGAGACGGCATATTTATAATAATCATCGACTTTCGGAAAAAAATCTGATATGTTTGGAATGTGGTGAAAATTTTGTTGTATCTCCAAGTTTACAAATGCACTTGAAAGCATTTCATGAAATAGATGATCCAATTAACTACATGAATAAATATCCAGATTATGCTCTAGATATAATGAACTTTGGAATGAGAAGTGAAGTAACAATTAATAATCAATGTCACGTTTGCATGGCTGTTTTCAAAGACAGCTCATGTGTTGATAAGCACTTAAGGATTCATGGAATGGCCTTCTTAAACAAGAGAAGATTAGAAACACGAAAAGCAAAAATGATAAGCCAAAAAAAGGTCAATACTTATAATGAACTAGATAGAGCATTGAAACTGAGTCATAATGAGCAGAGCAATGATTTTTCTTAATACGAAAACTACTAATTTGGTAAATATATTAAGACAAAAATTTTTTATTGTTTTCTTCAAATAATTTAAAAAAAGGTATTATTTATAGGTATCATAATTTATCCAAATTGGCTAGGTTGCAGATAATTATAGCAATGTGTAAGTATTCGTCTTTGTCGGAATAATGTATGTATTGTTTAGTACACGTTGTGAAAAAAATTTTGTTTGCTTGAATATGTAATTGTTTTTAATTTTAAAATAAAGCTATAAAATTAATTATTATTGATAGTCTTTATTCAATGACTTTCACTACAACAGGATCGTATATTTGTTTTTATAGATATTAAAAGTGTATTAACTGATAAGGTATATTAAAGTGTAAGACTTTCAATTAAAAATTGTCCGATATTATTATGTGAAATATTATTAAATTAATGCTGAAAAAATCTTTATTAAATTCTTGTAATTTAAGAAGTCCACTTTATAACGGGGTTTTAGCTCGTGCTCTTTCCGGGCTAAATCAGTTATATAATAAATAGTTGTCGTGGATTAATATTTTAACAAAGCGAAGTGCGCTATCCAAGACATCCCTGTGCGCCAGTGCGAACAGTGCTTGGGTCCAGCCGCATCAGCTTGCCTCCTTCCTTACGTAGAAATTCGGCCCGCGGAGAGTGTCGTGAGCCACAGGTTACTTGGTGAGGGACAACCTAAAGAGTCTCGCGGCGAAGTAGTTATACGACAGGGCAGGTGTATCGGAATAAGTTGCGGCGAATTTTGGTAGAACGAATCTTGTATTTCAGGCACTTACGAATACATACAAGCGCGTGTGGTGGCGAAATGTGAGCGGCAGCGAACAAGGGGACGACGCAACGCAGCGCGCCGATCTCGTCAGCAACCGAGCAAGATCGGACAACGAATTCGCTTAAGGCGGCTCGAGGCAGGACGCAATGCCGAGCAGAATGACAGAGTGCGTAAGCCGGGCGAAAAACTAAAGCGACAAATGCAGTTAGCAAGCAATAGGGGAGAGAGAGAGCCTGAGAGAGAGAGAATCGAGTAGGTACTTACAGTAGTCGTCGTCGGTTATCAGAACGGCAGCAACGCACGAACAATAGATAGCGACCACGCTTACTCTTGCCCTACACTCGCGCGGGCGTTCTCGCTTCCCAGCCTTATAGCTGGCGGAATTCCTGTCACATCAGCTATGCGCCTCCGCTTATCGCTGGCGGTCTTTGAACTCGTATAATCGCCACTGCGTACTCGCTTACTCCCTCGAGATCTCTCGTAACGCAGAAGAAAAGGGTGTTACTGTCAAACTATGCTAGCGTCCGTACTTGTCTCTGCTCGCATGCCAACTGACTCATTACGCGCTCTCCTCTCTCTCCTTCGCGATCGCGGTCTCTCCGCGACATCCGCGCTAGGGACTATCGATAGTATAGATCGTAGGGCTCGACTCTTACCTTGTTCGCTGACATTTCAACTGCGCTACAAATTACAAATTATTATAATGCATGGTAAAGTATACATATGATTAATAAACAAACTGGCTGCAGGGGGAGAGAGACATAACGAGAATGCGACTCGTTATAACTTGTAATAGATTATAGATTGGTAGAAGAAAGAATTATACTGTTTACAGTAGAACTTCGTTAACTCAAACTCTCTTAACTCGAAATTCTCTCTACTCAATAAAATTTTCATCCCATATAACAACTCTTTTAACTCGAAAAAATACAATGCAAAATGTCCCCCTTTATAACTCGAAATCGTTTCGGACATAAAAAATGCTTTTCCATCAATATCCAGCCCAATAGCTGCAAAAGCTATTCTATAACTCGAAGCAGTGGATCACAAACCTCTGTAACTCGAAATATGAAAATGAACAGTTATAGATATATGTATAATGTAACGGGGTGGATTAGCTGGAACAAATTGGGTTTATTAAAGAACAAACTCCCACGATGCAGAGCTGACCGCCGCTCTGTTAATCACGTATGAGTATACGAGGGTGGTCCGCTAAGTACTTAGCCTCACCGCCCGATGGCGCGACTCTCGCAAAAGAAATATTCTATCATGTAGTACAACCTTCTCGATGGTTACTGTCAAGATTTTAGCCGGATCGGAGATGTAGATTATTTTTGAGAGTGTGTGAAAGCAAGTGTGTCCGTTGATTTTTGAAAATTGGAAAAAGAGCAGTATCGGTCGGTAATTCGATTCTTGTTTTTGGAAGGGAAACCGCGCAGCGAAATCAAAAAGCGCTTGAATGCTGTGTACGGTGACTCTTCTCCTTCGATGGCGACCGTCAAAAATTGGTTTAACGAGTTTCAACATGGTCGCACGTCGATTTTTGCAGAGCCACGTCCAGGTGCTCCGAAAACGGCTACGACGGAGGATAACGTGACAAAAATTCACGATCTCGTAGTGGCAGATCGACGATTAAAGGTGCGCGAGATAGCTAAGATCGTAGGCATCTCAAAAGACCGCGTGGGTCATGTCCTGCATGAAATTTTGGGCATGAGAAAGCTGTCGGCGCGATGGCTGTCGCGTTTGCTCACTCCGGACAACAAGCGCAACCGTGAGACAACTTCAGAGCAATGTCTGATGCTGCTTAAGCGCAATCCGAAGGAGTTTCTGCGTCATTTCGTGACAGTCGACGAAACATGGATTCACTGGTATATACCAGAGACCAAGGAACAGTCGAAACAGTGGACTTTACCCGGCGAAAGTGCTCCGAAGAAGGCGAAGACTGCCCCATCGGCCGAAAAGGTGATGGCCACCGTTTTCTGGGATTCACAAAGTGTGATCTACATCGACTACCTGGAGAGGGGCAAAACGGTCACAGGGCTATACTATGTCGAATTATTGGGCCGATTCGACGTCGAATTGCAGAAAAAACGGCCTCATTTGGCGAAGAAAAAAGTGCTCTTTCACCATGACAACGCACCGGCTCACACTTCCGCCGTCGCCATGGCCAAATTGGTCGAATTAGGCTACGAACTACTGCCCCATCCACCGTATTCTCCAGATTTAGCCCCGTGCGACTTCTTTTTGTTTGTAGAAAAGTCACTCGCCGGGCAGAAATTTGAATCGAATGAGGAGGTAATCGCTGCCACTTTTCAGACCTCGAGGAAACGTATTTTTCAGACGGGTTACAGAAGTTGGAGCATCGCTGGGCCAATTGTATCGAACTAAAAGGAGACTATATTGAAAAATAAAACGCCACTTTTCCAAAATTTTCGTTTTTCTTTTGTAGGCTAAGTACTTATCGGACCACCCTCGTACGTGTATTCACCTTTACGCTTGATACTTTTGTTCCAATGTCTTCTTTTCCAACAGAGTTGAACTCACCTTAACCCATTAACGCCGAAAAAGCCAAAAATCTTAATTTTACTTAGAGTTATTGAGAAATACTCTCAAATTTTTTCAGATTTTTGTGAGACAATTTTCGACTTTTTGGAAAATGCAATTTTCCATAAATGTCTCTAAAAATTCTGAAAAAATTTGATAGTGTTCCTTGACTGATTTGAGAGTATTTCTTGGCAAATTTTAAGACTTTTTTGTTCCTAGCAATTTTTCGTGAAAGTCTTTAGTTTTCGAGAAAAACGCTTCTAAAGTTAAAAATGAAATTTCTACTTCGCCGCCATTTTGAGACGTACATTTGCAATTTTTAATTTTTATAGGTCATATTTCGAGAGTTTGAATTGTTTGTGCAAACTTGTGCTCATTTTCGTTGAATAAAAACATGCTATTTTGATAGAAAATTTGTCAAAATCATCATTTTGACTTTAGAATCTTGTAGATCCACCCCAAAAACATAAAGTAAGTCATTTTTAGACATATGCTTGATGTTTAAGTACTTCAAAAATAAACGCAAAGTAAAGTTAAGATTTTTTGCTTTTTCGGCGTTAATGGGTTGTCACCTGATTTGTGACACTTTCTTTCTCTGCGGTGTACCCAGACTAATGTTTCCTTCCACTATTCCGTAGATGAATTCGGTTTAAAAAAATATCAGGTGATGGATCCGTTAAATTAAAGGAAAATACAACGACGTAATGCGGCAAATAAAAATCAAGACTTTTATAATAACAAAAGTTACAGTCTTTGGTGGGCCGAAAGACTTGCGCACGCGTATAAGATACGGGGAGAAATAGAGAGAATTGGAAATTCTACCGTTAACTATAACGCTCAGCGTGAATGCGATAATGGTCGCGTATAACAAAATACTTACGGAAGTATTTTGTCGTGCGAAAATAAGGGAGGCGCACCTACCCTGCGATCCAATTACGGTAATCAACCGTAATTGTAAATTTGCAAAAGAGCAGGTGCTTCTGGAGAACTTGCTGCGCTGCCTCGCTCACGAAGATCGGTTGTTGCTCCGTCAAATGCTGCTATTTCGCTGCTGCTTTAGTTGCTGCTACTGCGATTGCTGCTTCCTTTACTATCTACTAGCGATCACTCGTCCACGTATCCAAAAAAATCAGAAAAACAACTTATGGAAAAAAGTAAAAACACAGTAGAAAATATTTGGCGGTACTCTGAACAATAGCTGTGGCTTAACTAAAAATTGAAATCTCGCGCGCCCCCTCTCTCTCTTACAAGGGAACCACCCCAACCCGACCTCACCGATTTGAATGATTTTGGGATATGTTGTAGTACTTGAAAAAAAATTAGATACTTGTTTTTTTTATCAGGCTATAAGGGCTTTTAAGGGGTGGAATCGACCCTGAAAATTAACTCCTAAAATCAGGTTTTTTAATATTTCTCAAAATCAAATGAATATTTTTCAGTAAACTCAACGTTAAAAAATTTCTTATAAAAAGACGCTTTTAAGGATATAACATTTATACGGAAGGGTTGCAACCCCCTTTTTAATAGGGGTAAATACACTATTTTATGTACTGTTTTACGACATGTAATATAGTATTGACGTGTTTCCGGATTTAAAAAAAAATATATTTAAAGGGTGTTTCACCCCCTAGAAACCACCCCCGTCAAACTATCAGCAGGTTAATCCACCTAATCCTGGGATAAACAAGTTTAGTCGTTTGTTATTTCTTGAAATAATTTAATACTATGCATGAGCGAGCTACCTCAACTAACCAACCTGCCTCTAACCCACCAGACACTCATAAACCCCCTACCGAAGCACATGCAGGCTAACCCACCTATTCCTGTGAAAAGCAACTTTAGTCGTTTGTTATTTCTTGAAATATTGAATTTTACACCATAAGCGA